TGATTTGACATATGAAGAAGAACCAATTCAAATCTTAGCGCGTGAGATAAAAGAGCTTAGAAAAAAGAGAATCCCATTAGTGAAGGTTCTTTGGAGAAATCATTCAGGCGAAGAAGCTACCCGGGAGCGAGAAGAAGATATGCGAGTTCAATATCCACATTTGTTTCGGGACTAGTACAAGGTAAATTTCGAGACGAAATTTTTTTTAGGGAGAGAGAGTTGTAACACCCCAAAATTTTTACAATATTTGCATTCTTGATTGAGCATTTTTTTTATAACAATGAAATATTTTACTTTGCACTTCCTAAATGTGAAATGGTCAGTATATGAAAATTTCTTACTTTAGGTTGTGTTAATATTGGCAAGGAAGTTCCATGGTGTTGCTATATGTAACACTTAATATTATTTTGACGAGTTGTTATTAAATATAGTATATAATTAAGTTTTGGGTTTCCAACCTTTTGTATTTATCTAAGAATATTTAGTAGTTGAGGAATCATTTTATTTCATATCTATCCATAAGCTCCCTATTCTTCTACTCTTCAGAAACAAAGAAGAATAACTATCTACCTCTCTCTCTTTCTATCTCTATCTTTCTACTCTATCTCTCTATCTCTATCTCTCTCTATCTTTCTCCTCTGTAAGAACAAGAAGCTGAAGGTTCATAAAAAAAACCATGGATTTCTACTAAATCAACACACAAAATTCGTTTTTGGTGAAGATCAAGTTGCTCCTCTTGGTAAGTTTCTATAACCCGTTTTTATACTAGATATCTACTAGTATTATCTACATATTTTTTTGTACGGAGCTCCGATTTAAGTGATCTAGGACTTTCTGGAAAGGTATTTTATAAATCTACAACTCTTATGAAGGAATAAAAATCTAGTATTGTTGGTATATACCTGAAAAATGGTCAAAACGTACAGGGCAGGTGCTGTCCAGATTTTCAGTTCTTGAAATACTCTATGTACTGCTGTTAGTAAATTTAGCATAACTTTTTGTTCAAAATTGATATGGTGGTTATTCAAGATGTTCTGAAACGTTAAGACATAGATCTACAACTTTTGTGAAGACTATAAAGTCTAGTTTGTCCGTATATATCTTCAAAACTGAGTCACAACTTGGAACAGTGATACTGTCCAGAATTTCTGTTTCAAACATTTTTGGGTAATTTTCACCAATATCATGTTTAGTTGACTTGTTAAATCACTGAACTTATTTAGATATTTGATTATGTATTTAAGGTATATAAACCCTTGAAAAAAACATCAAAGGGGAAGTGTTTGAGGAAGTGAACAGATTTGGTTTGTTTACGGCGTAGACGATTCGAACGTCCTCAAGTTGTGATTGAACTGTTTTATGGTAAAACACCAAGGTTTGTGTATAAACTTATACTCTTTTTACTTGCTGGAAATATGTTGAAATAACCTGATATTTTGTTTTTATTGTCTTCAATTTATATTGTTATATTCGTATTATATTAAGTCTTGTCAGAAATTTGCTAAATCGCCCATTCGTACGGATTGTTTGATCATTTTGCATTCTTGTTGGGACTTTGTCCTTCTTGTAGAAGTGATTTGGTCACTCACTTGGCATGCCTCTTGATTCGGATCTTTTGCCATCTTGACTTTGGATTTGTAGTTCGTCTTGGATTATGGAACTTGTCCGTGTTAAGTACGAACTAGGAAGCCATTTTTAATATGGTTCTTGATTCTCTTGTCTATTGGGTTTTGACCCTACTTGATTTGGGGCTTCGGTCCATCTTGATATCTGATTATGCTTAGTGTGATGGCATGACGTACATATTGGGCGAAAAATGGATATTTGGTATACTTCCTTAAATTGATAGTATACACTTTCTAGACTCTTGAGCATTGTTATTGATATTTGGAAACACTTCAAAGTTTGATATTGATATGTTTGATATATTTGTTCACTTGTTTTAAATTATGTTAAATTGAGCTAACTATGACTGAAAAGGGTAATTGGAGAATTTAATGACTCCAGNATAACCTGATATTTTGTTTTTATTGTCTTCAATTTATATTGTTATATTCGTATTATATTAAGTCTTGTCAGAAATTTGCTAAATCGCCCATTCGTACGGATTGTTTGATCATTTTGCATTCTTGTTGGGACTTTGTCCTTCTTGTAGANTAAAATTATGGTGTATGTTAAAAAAAAATATTGCACTTTGAACCTTTTCGCATGGGCCTATTTCTGCTACTAAATTACTTTGAATATTTTTATTAATATTTCTTTTAATATTTTGTAAGTAAGGAATTAGATTTGTTTCTTAAGTAGTAGCCTCCCAAAGGGGTTGCTACACTTTGTGTACATTGATTCATTCCATTGAAGCAATAGAGTAAATGATTCACAAGATCGTAGCTAATCTAGCTATTATGAGTTAAGAACTAATGAATGGAGGAAGCTTTTATAGCTATATGGTACCTTCAAACTTGAAAGTGTGAAGTTAGGCTTAACTAGTTCCCAACTTCTGAACTTTGAGCTGAAGTTTTCAACTTTTAGGCCAAAGTTGTAAACTAACTGAAGTTAGACTTTACAATTTCAACTTCAGACCCGAAGGATTAAAGTTTGAAACTTCATACCCGGATTTTCAACTTCAGCCCCTGAAAACTTCAGCCTAAAGGTCTGAAGTTGTATTTTAACTGAGAAGAGGAGTTAGGTCCTTTGGCAATTCCAACTTCAGCTCGAAGGACTAAAGTTTGAAACTTCATACCTAGAATTTTCAACTTCAATTCCACATGACTGAATTTGATTCTAAGGCAGCTAAACTTTAAAAACTTTATGAAGTTGGCTAACTTTTAAATAGGAACTAGAAAATGGCTATATGTGCACTTCCCTGGGTAAAATTCAAAAATAGCCACTTTTTCGCTATGTAATTAAAAAGTAACGGGTTGGGATCAGCTCCAGTACAAATTGCTCCAGCAATTGTCAATGGAGTGTTTGATTAGTGCCACGTGTCATTAACAGTCTAAATAGCATAAATTGCTTCCAGCTAATTTAGAGATAATTTTATCCATGGTCATTGAACTTTTGGGTTTGTTACCCAAAAGTAACTTTTTTTTTGTTGTGTAAAAATCATTCAACTTTGTATTCATTACACAAAAGTCACTTTTCTTTCTTTTGTTACACAAAAATCATTTTACTTTACTCTAGTTATCACAAAGTCACATCTTTACTTGAAAAGTCTATTATGCCTTTAATATTATATAAACCTTCATATTTATGTAATACCTTCTATATTATATACTATATAATATATTTTTAACTATTTATTTTACTTATAAATAAAATAACTTAATATTATTTTCTTTATTATTTTTATAATATATTCATATATTTTAATTTTTCCTTAACTTTAATTTTCAAGATATATTAGTAGCGTTATAAAACAACTTTTTTTTAGTAATTCTTTTTTGTTTAATTTAATTGACCGACCAAAGTTGGTCGGTAATTTCCGTCCAACTTTGGTCGGTATATCCTTCTGACCTTCAAAATAACGATCACACGTTAATGGTCGCGTTTTGGACGGTTATTGGCCAGTACCGGCCAACTTTGGTCGATTTTTCACAAATTTCTAGTAATGTAATTTTTCAAATAACTAATTGTCCAGGTAAATCCCCAAGAAAATATCCTCAGCTAAATTCACATGTAGTACATAGGGATTTTCCTTCAGATTAACATATGATTTTTTTCCTCATTTTCTTTGTTTGTTTACCTGCGAATTTTCTCACGGAAACGTACTTGCCGATTTATTTTTCTAATTATATATATTAAATTTACTGATAAATTTAATAACACTACTAATATTTTTTGAAAATTAACGTTAAAAAAAATTAAATATACGAATATATTATAGAAATAATAAATAAAATAATATTAAGTTATTTTATTTATAAATAAAATACATAGTTAAAAATATATTATATAGTATATAATATAGAATGTATTGCATAAATATGAAGGTTTAAATAATGTCAAGGACATAATAGACTTTTCAAGTAAAAACATGACTTTGTGATAACTAGAGCAAAGTAAAATGATTTTAGTGTAACAAAAGAAAGAAATGTGATTTTTGTATAATGAACACAAAGTTGAATGATTTTTGCGTAACAAAAAAGAGAAAAGTGAATTTTGGGTAACAAACACAAAAGTTCAATGACCATGGATAAAATTATCTCGCTAATTTGTTAGTATGGAATACCAAATATATCTCCACTCCATGAGAAATTTTATTTTGGGTAAGACTCACCCAACAATAGTTGTATGAGGCCACCTCTATATTTGACGTAAAAATAGCACGGTATAATCAGTTTTTGGACTAGTCATTCAAAAATAGCTAGTGTTTCCAAGTCAATGAAACATAGCCACTATTTTGCTACAGCAGAGACCGGTCCAGCAAAATATACTGGAGTTCGGTGCACCTATGTATGAACTCCAACATATTATGCTGGACCGATATACTTTGCTGGCTCCAGTATAATATACTGGAGACTGGAGCACTGGTGTTTCAAACTCCAGTATATTATGCTGGACCGGTATACTTGCTGGAACTCCAGTATATTATGCTGGAGTTCTAGTGTACTTATGATGAAACTCCATCATATTATGCTGGAGTTCCAGCATACTTATCTTGGAACTCCAGTATAATATGTTGGAGTTCAAGTATACTTATGCTGGAACTCCAGCATAACATACTGACGTATTTTCCGGGTTTTGAACAGTGCTTTCGCTCAGATTTATCTTTACATGAAAAGTGGCTAAATTTTGATTATTTTTGAAACTGAGCTATTTTTGAACGATCAGTCGTAAATCTGGCTATTTTTGAATTTCACCCATATTTGACAAGTGTGGTTGTGGGCCCATTTACTAACATTGGATTAATTTAAATTTAAATAAACAAAGAAGAAAAAGTGATTTTGCTATTCATGTGGATCCCACCCCGTCCATATTCAATAAATAAATAGCTAAATAGTACTAGACAAATGGAGGGAGAGAAAAACGTGAAAGTCATTTTCCCTCCCTAATTACCTTATTAGCTCATCACCAAAAGTAATATTTATATTTTTGTATGTAATATATATCTGTCATCTTCTTCTTCTTTTTTCATTATCATAGTTTATATCTTTTTAAAATCATCTTAAGTTACCAAATCTTTAAAAATGAATCTTTAGAATTTTTTCATTGATATATATGTGTGTGTGAAATATATTATACATAATATATCAATAAAATACTCCTCATTTGGTATAGAAATGCAAAATCGTGGCTACTAGCATTGAGTACTTTTGCATGTTGATACATTTGCTACCATATTTAACCTGTAAGAAAAATTGAATCATTATAAAAATATTATTTATTATAAAATTAAAATAAGATCAATATAAATTTTTCCCACTAAAAGGGTGTTTGTATTGACTTAATAGCTCCCTAATTTAACTTAAAAGTACTTTATGGCTCGTTTTAATATTTGACAAACCTAAAAAGTAATTTTAATTTGCTTTTAAGCTAAAATAATTTAAAACAAGCTAAAAGTTATAATTTGATCATCCTAACTTATTGCTTTTTGGCTAAAATGCACTTGAGATTTGGCCAAATAATTTAGTTTTTTTACCCTTTTATTAAATTACTTTTCCGTCACTATAAAACCCATGATTCATGAAGGCTAAAGCCAATTCATTTCTATTGATTATAGAGATGGTTGAAATTGGTATACACTACACAATTGCTTATCTAGTTTTTAGTTTCCGCAATTTGAATTTTCATGCATATTTTTCTTTAGGTCATCTGCCTGAATAAATTATACTAAGATTGTGCAATTTTCTAATGAAATTCAGCTTATAATTAAAAATAATATTTTGGACAAACTAGTATAATTACAGTTCAAAGTGATAGTTATAACTGAACTTGTATATGTGTTGTTATCAAAACATATTTTGCAACTTGAAGCTGAAGGCATATTTTGCTAGAAGTTGGATATGGAGTTGGGAATCAACGGTTATTTTCTTTATTGTATCAAAAATTTGCTAAATTTATGCACTTTAGTTACAAAATTAAGACATTATTATTACTATAGGTTATTGAAATAATTAATACTCAAAATGGTTTTCACATTAATACACATGAGGAAATGGTGTTTAGGAGGTTTTTTGTTTAGGGAGTTGTTTCAGGTTAGGAGGTTTTTTGTTTAGGAGTATTTTCTTTATTTTCACATTAAGTGTTCGTGTTCTTTAATTTATTTCTGATGGCGAGAATCGAGATTGTGGCTTTTACGACAACAGTCCAATTTATATTTATTTTTATTTATATCTAATTTTTATCTATATCTAATCTTTTAGTTTGGCCCACATTCCATTAATTCACCTTCTAACTTTATTTATAACTCAATATCAGTAAATGGGCCCAACAAATACACTTGTCAAATATAGAGGATGACCTCATACAACTATTGTTTATTGTTGGATGAGTCTCACCCAAAATAAAATTTCTCTACAATCTATCCCGTTTAAATGGTTAATGACACGAGGCATTAATCAAACACTCCATTGACAATTACTGGAGCAATTTGTACTGGAGCTGATCCCAACCCAAAAGTAACTACTGTATATTTGACCATCTTAATGACATTATTAGAAAAGTATTTAAATTTAGATTACTTGTCAAGTGACTCACTTTCCAAATTAGTTACTGCAAGAAAAGATTGTGTTACCTTAATCTTAGATTTAACTTCTTTAATTTGAGAAGGTAAGTTGTTTAGAATTTATCTTTTTTATCATATCTCCATCAATTGAAAATTTGATGTACATCTTTTCCCCACTATAAATACATTGCTAAAGCAACAGCTAAGACATCAGCAATAACAATTATATAGTTATAATAGTGCTATCACAAGACTTCGAAGACAATGGAGAAGGCAACATTACTTAAGATTTTCTTGGTCTCTTTTTTGTTTATTTTGTTAGGTGAGCAATTTAGATAAACTTACCTATACATTATGTAGTAGTTCATATTTAGTTCATATTCAACCAGGTTATAGTCCTCTTTGTTTATAGATTTGAAGCACTGCATTTTTTTGTCGAAAAAGTACTTATTTTGGTCAAGCTCCCAAAATCTGCTTATTTTGAAAAGTTCTTACGGTCAAACTTTCTAACATAAATAATTTTTCTGAAAAATAAGCACTTTTTTACGGGAGAAATTCAAAAATAGCTAGATTTACAAGTGGTCATTCAAAAATAGTCACAGTTTCAAAAGTAATCGAAATTTAGCCACATTTCATGTAAAGATAAATCTGAAAGAAAACACTGTTCAAAATTCGAAAAAAATACTCCAGTATAATATGCTGGAATTCCAGTATAATATACCGGTCCAGTATATTTTACTGGAACTTCTGCGTGTTGGAATTCCAGCATAATATGCTTGAAGTTCATACACAGGTGCACCGATCTCCAGTATATTATGCTGGAACTTTCCGTATTGCAGCAAAATAGTGGTTATTTTTCAATGACTTTGCAAACGCTGGCTATTTTTGAATGATCAGTCCGAAAACTGGCTAGCCCGTGCTATTTTTACCTTTTTTATTTCCCAAAGATCAGAGATAGTTTTGGGCCTTTGGCCCATTTTTTTTATTTCCTTTTGTAGCAAATTGTACCCTAAAAAGTATCGCAATTTGTGTCTTTTTATATGTTGAAATATAATAGCTCTAGTTAAATATTTCTTTTTAATAACTCATTCAAGTTATTATTGTTGTTAGGACAATCAAGCAATGCCGCGTTATGTTCTAAGGATGCCGATTGCGCTGGAATTATGAAATGCATAGATGCAGGTCCCAAATGTGACTTAACTAGAAAGGCGTGCTTCTGTCCAAAACCTCCAGCAGCTAATAATGGAGCAAAAATGAGTTCACAAGACTGACCAAAACTGATCTATTTATGTTTGTTACTATATGATGTACGCCAAAATTGAAATCTGATTTAGGGTTTTATTTTTATTACTTTGCACAATGCATTTTACTTTCTATGAATTTCTTCGAGCCAATTATACAAAATTTTAGTTGTTTATTATTTAAGTCTTAGCATAGCGCGAAAGAGTCAAAGTATCACTATAGATATTCCTTTTCTACTTTTATTTTAACTAGTTTTAAGGTACGCACTTTGCACGTGTATCCATATCAATAAATACATAATTTTAAAAATATCATGTAAGTATATATTTTAAATTATATAAAATTATAAAATAAAAGTTAAAAAAATCCTGAAATGATAATTGTTTCCATGTAGCTATCTCAAAAAATGAAGAAACTTTTGACCAAAAAAATGAAGAATCATAGCTCATAAAAATTTACAAATGTCTTATTGTGATTTATGAGGATTTATGGTGAAATATCTTATGAAAATTATTGCTATTTATCTGATTTAATACTAAACACAAAACATAAAAATACCTTTATCATAATTCTTATAGATTTGTCAAATAACAAAATTAAAAAAAATAAATCTTTTAGTCTATTAAGAATTTGAGAATGAAAAAGGTTGACGTATATATCCTACATGATTGGTAATGACAATGTAAATTTTGTAACAAATGACTTATGTTGAATTAATATTTTAATATAAAACTTAATATAAAAAAGTATACAACCACTGTCATTTTTCACTGCGCAAGAAAAAAAGAACAATGAACCGACAACTCATTTATAATACATTTTGTTTTCTACTATTTTATTCTTATTTCTTCAAATTTATATTTTTATCGATTTGAGTTTTTGAATTTATACTATAATCGATTTTGCTTTAGTTTTTATTTCTTTCACCGCTAGTGCGCTTCTTATAAAAAATAAATTTATGTACCTTAAGTGTCACGAACCGGATTTTTCACCCTCGAGAGTCGTGATGGCGCATACTGGTGAAAGCTAGGCAAGCCAGATTATCCTAATTACTTAACCTTTTCCAGTTTTAAACCATTATCAGTGATGAGTAGATATCATGCAAATAACGAAAATAATTAAGCGGAAGACAAAATCTGACAATTTATCTTAATACAAAATTGCGGAAGTCTAAATACAACTCTACCCAGAATTTGGTGTCACAGCTTTACGGACGGTCTAAGAATACTACATACAAAGTCTGAAAGATAAAATAAACACTTTCTGAAATGAGTAAAGGAAACAGGATAAAGGAAAAGATAGGAGGTGATGCCAAGGCCCGCAGATATTGTTTTGTGTCGCCTGTGTGGGCTGAAGACAACACCCTCATTGCGGTCCAAACACTCTGGTATCAGTATCTGCGCACAATGCAGAGTGTAGTATCAGCACAACTGACCTCATGTGCTGGTAAGTGCCTCGCCTAACCTCGGCGAAGTAGTGACGAGGCTAGGACCAGAGTACAAAATAAACTTGTGCAATATAGCGTACAAAAATAATAGGAAGCAGGTAACAATGATGGCAACAATGATCAACCAGTGATATAAATTGCAGGCAACAAGAACACCATAAATGTTTCTCAATAAATAATAGATACAAGTGCAATCAATTTATCAAGTCCTTCAAATATAAATCTTTCGCCTATAAATCCTTCAAGTAATAATCTCTAAGATAATATGTTTTTCAATGAATATATTTCCTTTAAATAAATATCTTTCAAATAAACATCTTTCGAATATAATTCTTTCGAGTAAATGTCACCTTGTGATGCCTCATTCACTTAAACAACTTCCAACCCAATTAGGAAATCAACAGGAAAAGATGAAGTTATTTTTAGAAATCATTTGATAAAGAAGATACCCTTTTCAATTAAAGTACAATATCGAATGAATCATTCCCTTTAATACAAGAAATCAATAAATCAAAACATAGTAGAAATTCCTTTTTAAGTACAACCTCAAACGGTTTAAGGAAAATTTAGTTGAGAAATCAATTGAGTTAAAAATATAACAATTGTTGAAATTTGGAGTATTGAACATAAAAAAAAGAAGAAGGTAAAAACTGAATATCAAGAGAATTATAAAGGAATCAAAATCCAACCACTAACAAGAATAAGGAAAACAAAGGCAGATTTCACTTTCTTTTCACATCTTGTTGCAGGCGTGCAACCCGCTCTCATTTCTTGTATCTCGTGGCTGGCGTGCCACCCACTCCCATTTCATGTATCTCGTGATAGGCGTATCACTCACTCCCATTTCATTATATCTTGTGGTAGGCGTACCACCCGCTCCCATTTCATTATATCTTGTGGTAGGCGTACCACCTGCTCCCATTTCAATATATCTTGTGGTAGGCGTACCACCTGCTCCCATTTCAATATATCTTGTGGTAGGCGTACCACCCGCTCCCATTTTATTATATCTTGTGGTAGGCATATCACCTGCTCCCAGTTACAAGCCAACAATAATCACAAGGAATCCCCGCAAGGGAACAAGAGCAATATAACAACTTCCCGACAAGGGAACAATGATATTTCAACAACATCCCAGCAAGGGAACAATACTATCAAAACAAACATCCTGGTAAGGGAACAATAATATCAAACAAACATCCCGGCAAGGGAACAATGGTGATAATAACATATGAAGCGCAATAAACCACAACGGAATCATAACAATTATAATACAAGACTCATTGGCATGCTTAACACCAACGTATAGATACTCGTCACCATGCCTATACCCCGTACTCCACAATTAACATGTAGCAAATAAGACACAACTCTTAATCCCTCAAGCTAAGGTTAGACCAAACACTTACCTCGCTTTGCAACCAATTTAAAATTCCAACAAACCTTTGTCTCGTGAATTCATGCCCGAAATTCTCAAACCTAGTCATAAACAATTCGATTCAGTCAATAAAAATTATAGGAATTAATTCCATATGAAATTCTACATTTTTCATTAAAAATCTGAAATTGCACTAAAATTTGCCCGTGGGGCCCACGTCTCGGAATCCGATGAAACTCGCAAAATTCGAAAACCAATTCAGCCACGAGTCCAACCATACCAAAATTACTAAATTCCGACATCGGATTGGCTTTCAAATCTTAAATTTTCATTTTTGGAAAATTTGGCTAAAAATATGATTTTTCTTCCATAAATTCATGGATACATGATGTAAACGCATATGGAATCATGAAATATAATCAATATAGGATAAGGAACACTTACCCCAATTTTTTCACGTGAAAATCGCCCAAAAGCGCTCAAGAACCGAGCTCCAAAAATTCCAAAACGAAATGGCAAAGTGATTGATTTTTGTGATTAAATGTTTCTGCCCATCCGTCACTAAAAGTCATGTTCGTCACTAAAAGTCTACTAGAAACAGCTTTACCAGCCCTTATTCAATTAATCATACCTTTCTTTACAAATGTCCAAATGTTGAATGGTTTAATGTTCTGAAAACTAGAATGCAAGGGCTACAACTTTTGTGTTTTGCACAGTTTCAGATTCCTTATAGATTTCGAGATATAAGCTTCCAAAGTAGTCTGCCCGCATCAAACATTTCTGGAAAATTTCAAAACAACTTTACCAACCCTTATTCAATCGAGCATAACTTTATGTACAAATATCCAAATACTTAATGGTGTAGCTTTATGGAAACTAGGATGCAAGGGCTACAACTTTCATGCTTTGTAATCTTAAAGATTCCTTATTTATTTGGAGATATAAGCTTCCGAAATAGGCTCCATGATTGCACAATTGCTGTCCAAGATAGCTTCTGCAGCAGAAATTCCAGCAACCCCTTTTGTCCGATTTCCATTCCGTTAACCTTCCGAAATCCACCCGAGGTCCTCGGAACCTTAACCAATTATACCAACATGTCTCAAAATATAATACAAACTTAATCAAGGCTTCAAACCACGCCAAACAACACCGAAATTACGAATCGTGCATCGAATTGAATTATGAGTTTTCAAATCTTCCAACTTCTATATTTTTGTTCTGAAACATATCAAATCAATCCGGAATGACTTCAAATTTACACACAAGTCATAAATGACATAATGGAGCTGTTTCAATTTTCAGAATCGGATTCCGACCCCGATATCAAAAAGTCAACTCTCAGTCAAACTTTTTCAAAAATCTTCTATTTTCCAACTTTCGCCAAAATGCGCCAAATTGTCCTACGGACTTCTAAATCCAAATCCGAACATGCTCCTAAGTCCAAAATCACCATACGAAACTATTGGAATCGTCAAAATTCCATTCCAGGGTCGTTTGCTCAAAAGTCAAATCTCTGTTCAAACTTAAGAAGTCTTTAGCCTCAAATTTCTAGATTCCGGTAAATGACGATAATTTGATCTATGGACCTTCGAATTAGATTTCGGGCATATGACCAAGTCCCAAATCACGATACGGAACTACCGTAATGGTCAAAACTTGAATCCAGGTTCGTTTGCTCAAAATGTTGACCGAAGTCAACTCAATTGAGTTTTAAAGCTCTAATTCATAATTTAATTCAATTTTCATACAAAAACCTTCCGAAAAATTATACGAACTGTGCACGCAAGTCGAAAAATTATTGATAACACTTTTCAAGATCTTAAAATACCGAGATGATTATTTAATTTAAAGATGACATTTTGGGTCATCACATTAAGAGTTTTTCAACTTATCAAATAATTTTACTTATATGATAAATTTGAAAAAAAAATTGAATTGAATTCTTTTGCTAATTAATTAATTCAAAGATTCAATTATTTGCTCTCAATATTAAAGAAGTAACTTAGACTTTTTGTTAATTCAACTCCTTAAGAATATTCAACAGTAATTATATCTTTATGTAATAAAAAATTTATTTTCGATTAAAAAAAAATAATATGTAAGCTTTGGATCTTTTGTGTTACTAAAACCATTGTGTTTTTGACTTGTATAGCTAAATTATAGTAGTTTCTAACGTTTATATAAGAAAATTTATATAAGGTAAAACTCTTAATTGATTTTGAAGGACTAAATATTAGAATTTTCTACCTAGTTCAATAAGGAAAAGTTAAATAAACAAAATTTTAGTTGATTTTAAAGTCCTAAAAA